GGGGGGGGAGGTGGAGGGAGGTGGAGAGGACGGTGGACTCTCCTCGTCCAGTACTAAGTTCCCAGCACTGCGTGCTGGCCACGGCTGTCCGGCCGTCCCTCGGCAGGCTGGGCCAGTCTCCGACGGGTTCTCGCGTTCACTCTGTGTTCCTTCCTTCCTCCATTCACTGCAAGCTCTTATGTTTTGTCAGTAACTCCTGGGTGCTGTCCTGGGGCTCGACCCCCCCCCCCCGGCTCCCGGCTCTGTCCCTTTGCTTTTGCACTCAAGGCTGGCGCTCTGCCCCTCAAACCCCGGCTCCAACTTCCGGCTTTTTTTGCTGGTGGATGGGAAATCGAGAGTCTCGGGGACTTTCCTACACAGGCCGGCTGGGAACCCCGGTCCTGCTGAGTGGCCGGGGTGACAGGTGGAAGCCCTGGGCATGGCTCCCAGGCGGGAGCTCAGCGCTAGCCCCAGAGGCTGCCCAGGGGGGGCCGTGGCGCTGAGGGGGGGGCCCTGGTGCCGGCCCGCTGAGGGGGGCCCCTGGTGCTCTGGGACCCAGTGGCTTCCTCCCAGCACACAGGCCCGCCCACGTGGCTTCTGGCATCTTCTCTGGGGGTGATAAAAATATTTTGGAACTGGCTGGAGGTGGCAGCTGTGCACAGGGAACGCGGCCGGGATGGGGGTTCAGAGCGGAGCCGCGCCAGCTTCACCCCCTCAGTAACGAGACAGGAGCGTTTATAGCAGAGGGAGCGGGGGTGGGCGCGGCGGGCGGGTCGCAGAGCCGGCCCTGTCTCCCACTCCTGGTGGTGGTGGGGTTCGAACCAAGGGCTTCGTGCTCTCCCTGTGGAGCCATGAGCCCAGCCTTTTGTTTTGTTTTGCTTTGGGTTGGTCGTGGGGCCTGAACTCTGGGCCTGGGCGCTGTCCCTCAGCTCTTCAGCTCAAGGCTAGCGCTCTACCCCTTGAGCCACAGCGCCACCTCCGGCTTTTTTTTTCTTTTTGCTTATGTGGTGCTGAGGAATCGAACCCAGGGCCTCAGGCACGCAAGGCGAGCGCTCTGCCACTGACCACCTGCCCAGCCCCTGTTTTGTTTTCTGTTCTTTGTTTTTTCTGCATTAGGTTATTTTTCCGGGTAGAATCTTGAGAAGGTTCTTTCCCTCCCCCCAGGCTGGCCTAAGACCCCGTCCCTCCCCCTCCCGCCGGTCCCACAGCTGGGGTTACAGACATGTACTACCGGGCTCGGTTGTGTGTTCCCTTGGTTGAGATGGCGTCTCACTCTCTTCTCCCCTGGGCTGGCCTCAAACCTGGGGCCCTCTGATCGAGTACCTGCGGTGGCAGGAGCAAGCCGCCGGGTCTGACACACGGGTGGTTTTGTGTGCACGGGTTCATCTCACACTGGGACTTCAAAACCCCGGCCTCGCGGGGTGATGGCAGGATGGAGACCACAGCTGGCCCCCAGCCTTGCGGGGTGACGGCAGGGTGGGGACCACAGCCGGCCCCCGGCCTCATGGGGTGACGGCAGGGTGGGGACCACAGTTGGGCCCCGGCCTCGTGGGGTGAGGGCAGGGCGGGGACCACAGCCCTCCTTGGTCTCCACCAGGTGACGAGGAGCTGGTGCGGGAGGTTCTGTTCGATGCGGTGGTGACGGCGCCCTTGGAGGCCTACTGGACGGCGCTGGCGCTCAACATCTCCGAGTGCGTGTGGCGGGGCCGGGGGCCGGGGGCCGGGGAGGGC